GTTTGGCCAAGATACTTGTTGATTGGTCAGAGAGATTCATGTCCTCGATCGCGAACGAGTGTTGATCAAAGAAGTGGCGAAAACTATCCCGACATACGTGACGAGCATTTTTCAAACTAACGATGCTGATCTGCGATGATTTGAATAAAATGGCTCAAAGTTACTGGTGGGGTGTGGAGAAAGGAAGACACAAGACACACCGAATTGCATGGGAAAAAATAATGCTCCTAAAAATCAAGGTGGTCTTGGTTTTCGTGGTATGCGCCTCTTTAACCAAGCTTTGCTGGTGAGGCAAGCTTGGAATTTAATCGAATGACCAGACAGTTTATGCGCTAGAATGGTGAAAGCAAAATATTACCAACGGGATAATTTTATTGATATTGTGTTTACAGGGAATTCTTCGGCGATCTGGAAGGGGATTGAGTATGGTTTGGAGCTATTAAATAAGGGAGTCCTATGGGAAAATTGGTGATGGACGGAAGGTGAGGTTTTGGCGTGACACATGAATTCCGAGGGGCACTTTCTGGAAATCTCTTAAACCTCAATGGCAGTGTAGGTTTACAAGGGTGTCCCAATTTATTCGTCATGTAGGTTCATGGGATGAAGAGCGGCTTAACCAGTATCCCATACCTGATGTCTGCTGATGTAGAAGAAATATTGAAAGATATCAAACAATCAACACAGATGCGAGATGATTTTATAGCATGGCAAACTAAAAAGGATGGACGTCTCGGTGCAAAGCGCATATCACCTAGCTATTGCGAACCTCTTGAAGAACTAGGGGGTGTGGTGACGAGCTCGAGGCCATGTGGGGACCTACCTGTCTAGAAAATGTTGAAAATCCTACTTCCACAAAAGATGTAAATTTGTGTATGGAAGTTGCTCAAAGGGTTGTGGACTAGGGACCTTAAATGTTATCGGCATGTTGACCCGGTTGCCACCTGCTTGCAATGCGGACAGGAAGAGGAGTCAACTTTCCATGCTGATATTTCAGGCCCAATGTCGCAATCGGTTTGGAGGTGATTCGAGAAATCTGGACGGTCCCATACTGATATGGTGGGGCAATGTGCCCCACTAGTTGGTGAGATCTGGCCCTGGCGGTGCTTGTGTTGAATTATTACTTGTGTGTTTGCACATGAATGAGGGAGTAATAACCATGACACACAGATAGAAAAATCATTTTTGAAACTTGCCTAAATTATCAAGAATGTGTATGTAAAAAATGTATATGTGGTCATGGATTTTTTCCCATAATTTAAGGGAATGCCCATGTATTTTCAAATGGGATTAATGTACTTTAATAGATATTTTTGTATCTATAAAAAGTCTTCATATGTTTCGATAAATATGATTGTCTTTTCAAAAATAGTTCATGTAATTTTAAATTGTTTACAAAGCACTAAATATTTTATGTATTTTAAAATAGTGTTCATGTATTTTTGTAAACATATTCTTGTATTCTTGTAACTAAAAGTGATTAACAGATTTTTTTGTATATTCATAAAATTGAAACAATATCCACATATTTATATAAAAAATCGTGTAATTTAGAATATGTTGTATTTTTGAAAAGATGAAATAATTTTTCTAAACACAAATTTACAAATATTTATGCAGCATTTTGAAAAAAACAAGGTACAAGAAAAAAACAAAGAAAAGTGCAAAAATAAACCAAAACACCGTAAGTAAACCAAAAGAAAATGAAATGTAAACCTGAAAAGAAAAGGAAAACAGGAAATAAAATGGAAATGTTATCTGGCGATCGTTCGCTGAAAGGCCCACCCCAGCGAACGGCCCCATCACCGTCAGATGCATCTTGACGCACATCCGATGCAACATAGGTCAGCTCGAGGAGGTCACAGCTTTAGGTTTCGGCGCGCACCGCCTGCCACCTGTACTATAGCGCGTTTTGTCTACACTTGTAGTTTAAACATGTTTCTATATATCTTATGAAGCTATTTAAAAATATAATGTTTCATTTGAAAATAAAAATAAATATGCCAATTTTTTAATTATTGGTACAAGAAATATCATTTTTTGGAGTTTTTTCCCTAAATTTGCGATGTGCATTTTTATGATATGTAGCATGTCATTTTTTCTAGGTCCTTGTTTTAATAGCCCACATGGCATTTTTTCTAGTAAAGTGCATGTCATTTTTCAGGTCCTTTTTAGTGCCACACATTGCATTTGTTTTAGCAGAGACCGTGGCATTTTTCAGGTCCTTTTGAATGCCACACATCGCATTTTTTAGCAGAGATCATGGCATTTTAATAATTAATAACATGGCATTTTCTATTATTAAGAGGATGGCAGTTTCATTTATTAGTAACATGGACTTTTTTTAGTTACAAGGTATTTTTATTTATCAAGAGGGATGGCAGTTTATGATAAAGAGCATGGCATTTTTTTAGTAAAGAGCATGACATTTAATGTTTTTAATAAAGTGGTGTTTTCTATTACTAAGAGGATGGCAGTTCTATTATTAGTAACATGACATTTTTATTTTTTAGTTACATGGCATTTCTATTTATCAAGAGGGATGTCAGTTTATGGTAAAGAGCATGGCATTTTTATTGTTATGAGGATGGCAGTTTTATTATTTGGAAGGTGTCTGTTTTATTATTGATAGCATGACATTTTAATATTGTTTTCATGACATTTTTTATTAACTATAGGATGAAAAAATTATTTAGTAAGAGGATAGCAATTTGTTTTTGCCATGGCCAAAAGACAATTCACTGACATGGTGTTTCTATGAATTGTGCGCAGTGGAAAAAACAAAGCAAAAAAAATTACATCATAGCATTTTTTTGTAAAGTACCATGTCCTTCTTTATAAATTAATATGGCATTTTTAATTTTTTATATGCATGGAATTGCACAACGCTTTTT